TTCCGACTCGATGGCACCTGACAACAACAACAACATAAGATGGCTCAGAATTTGTCCCATTACAACGTAAAATGCAAGAGTAAAAGGAAAGTCTTTCTTCTAAATGTTAGTAGTTTAAAATCTGAAAGAATGTAACTTTTGATACAAAAAAAAACCCAAAAAACACATGACACAGCTATCCATTAGCTTCTCTTAACCCCAGACAAGTTAAAGTTCTAACATATTATTTGAAATTGTTGTTAAATGCCACCAAGTTGATTCTAAAGCATTGTGGCCCTCTACAGGGTTTCCAAGGAGTGACTGGATTCGAACCACTGACATTGTGGCTCACAGTCCAGTGCTTATTGTACACTATCATACCATTACTACATTACCACTGGGATACCTTGCCATCCACTATCATTCTATTTTGAACTTCTATAACTTCAATCACAAGAAAAAGAATACATGTCATATAATTGCTTAAATGTGTAATTAGAAACAAGATATGTTCTCAAATATTAAGCAAGTAGGTCATTAATATATGAAGCTATAATGAGAAATATAATGTGACCCCCAAATACTCAATATATAGCATATCAAGGAACATCTCTAACTTTCATATCCATGCCACATTATTCAATCCCTTGTCATGTTCATTTTGTTCCCCTTTCTTAACTCTGGCATCTATGTTGTTGTGAAGTGCTGTTGAGTCGGTTCCGACCCATGGCATCTATAGACCCAAATTCATTAGATGACTACTAACTGTAGGGCAAGTCAACATCTCCACTAAAGTATTTTACAGCCTGAACTTCCTTCTCCCAAGGGTTTCATGGGATTGTCTTCACTTCCTTCAGTGAAAACAATGATCATGCTGTGCTCATGTCTTCTCGTAAGTCTGAGTTTTATTCTTTAATCATAGAACATTAACACATTTTCTCTGGGTATTTGACCATGAAGGTAAAGTATATATGTATGTATAAATCAGAATGGTGAATGAATAAACAACAATGAATGGGAATAACCTGTTTATCCATCTACTCTCATGTTGCTACATCAGAGTTATTTCTGATATGCCTGTCCCTTAAAAACATTCTAAGCTCTACCTCTTGCAAAACAGATAAGATATTTTCAGTGCCAGTGACATGAATAGTTCCATGTGTAACTCCCTCCCACTCACCATACCACCTATTTCCTATAAAGCACAGAAATTGGAGTTAAGATATTAGCAGGGTTCTCTCAGTGAAACAACTTCTTTACTTTTCTGGAAATATTGTGAAGGTAGTACAGAATTTCCATATGTCTATCCCACTTTTCCCCATTGTTAACATCTTACCTTAGTATGTGACATTTGTCACATTGAACTGATATTAATGCATTACTAATAAACAAAGTCCATACTTTATTTGGATTTCTTTAGTTTTTACCTAATGCCCTCTTTCTATACTGGATGCTATCTAGGATACCATACTAAGTATTTTCAGTCTTTACTGGCAGATCTCGGGTTATAAATGAGATTCATTCCTTTGTCTTTTAAGTTTGTAGATAAATTGAAACAGGTGCATACAGTTCTCATTTACTTTTCCTTAGTGTAAAAAAAGGTTCATAGCTTTTTCAATGCATCAAGAGCAGCATTGCAGTAAGTGAAGGTGACTGTGATGAAGAATTTGTTGCAAGGTCAATAGACAGCAGCATGATAAAGGGAGAAAAGGTTGAACTTGTCAAGGATTTCATTTTGCTTGGATCCCAAATCAACACTCGGGAATCCTGCTGTGGTGCTGTTGGTTAATGCGCTGAACTGCCAAGTTCACTTGAACTGGGAGGCCTGAAGTTCAAATTCACCAGCTGCTCCTTAGAAACCCTATACCGAGTTGTTATGGGTCAGAACCCAACT